GTGAGATTTTTCTCCACAATAAGAAATTACTCTGCTGTATGGTTTACTGGATTTGTGGTAGTTGTTGTAGTGTCATCATAAATTTTATGCTTCACAGAGTGTCCAAAAACTCTCGTGGTGTGGTAAAGGAAAAAGGATGCTTTTGTCACCAAAACTTAAAATAACATTACAACTTTTTCTGTATTTCTTTGAAGAAAATATTAATGGAGGTTTTTATTAGAAAAGTTATTTTTTGTTTCTCTGGAGGTTTATACAAAGTTGTGGAAAAAGTGGACTTCATAAATAGTGAGGCTCAAGGGACAGTTTAAGGGGTGCTTGGAATGACCAACATAAATTATGAGGAGTTTTCAGTTTGTTTTTATGTAATTACTTATCAAGTCATCACCATATTTGGAAATGTACGAGAAATGGATTTCTGGAGAGTTTGTCTTGAAATTGAATTACAAATGGAGGGGAAATATTAATGATTCGTTCAGCCGTTTAGAGAGTCAAGGATGACCATTATGTGTCCAGGTTTTGTTTGTGGGTAACATAAAGTAGAATGGAATTAGGGGATGAGAGGTACTTTAATATGTATATATTTATAGCTACATAGATCATTTCTCTCCGTATTTCTCCAGCATCCGGTAAATTATAGTTATCAAGAAAACATTGAATGTCATACATAAATAATATTGCACACAGTTATGTACATAAGTAATAGATGTTGCACAATTTTAGTGCTAAGGGACTCTGCAAAAAGCGTGTGATCGATTTGAGATGGAGTAAATGTCAAGGCATTCTATTCCTCCCGTGTTAATCATATGCAAACAAGGGGCATATATATAGGTCACACCAACGGGTTAGGGGTCAAATTTCCAGAAAATTAATCACATGCTTTATGTTCTCTTATACTGCATGTTCATGCACATAATCAACACCTTACTTTCTCCAGAAAGATTTATATAGTGATTTTTCTCCTATGTATGTACTCGTATTTGAGCGTGAACTTGTAATGTGTCCCATTTTTTTAAATCTTGCCTATTTCATGCAAACATGCCCCCTGTAACAAACAAGTATTTTAAGCTGCGTGACATCCGATTTCTTTTATTCCCATGTCATTTCAGATCAACAACATCACCCTCAAGCAGCAAATGACACGAAGACCACTGCACTTGTGAAGTAGCTGGTCGCATTTACATATTTAGTGTACATATGTAATGAAAACCATTGTATAAGTATGCATCCCTATATGTGTGAATTTACATGCATCCATCAAACTCTAAGTGTCTTATTATTATTTTCTGGACGTTCGTGACCTATCCAGTTAGACGGATATTACTGCACCCTAAGTATGACAACAAAATTCCTAAAGTGCTTCTACATACACACATCAGACTTTTATATACAATAAAACAGGACCCTAACGACAATATGACCCCTGATATACATATTTCTCAACTGCAATGAATTCATTTCATCATGGGAGCCGGCTTTTTGCTCTATCTCCTCCGCTGTCTGTCTGTTTGGTAATAATTTGTTGAAAACACGTAAAAATGTGAACAACGATTGATGTGGTTGCCGAGCCAGAGATGTTTTTGACTTTGACATTTAACCCCGATTCAGTCCAGCCACAATCCCAGTATGCTCATTTATCGGCATGAACTCCATGAATGATCGTTCATCGACTCGAGAAATTTTAATTATTAACTACTTTGTCATTATGGCGATTACTTTGGCCATTCCTTGAATTTTTTAAAAATGTTTAATTATAATTTCTTAGAACTATGTAGCAGCTTTATTAAGATTGTGGAAGAAATGGTTATCAATATAATATACAAATAGCACACAAAAAGAATCGAATATCATTCTTCCATAATTTGACTATAATTTGACTTTCTTCAAATAATAATATGTATAATTTATAAGATTTCCTTAGTAAAGTATCTCAAAAGTTAATCAATCAATAATTATAAGGGCAATATGTACATACTTGAAAGTACATAGACGTACTTAATCGCTATACCTATGTAAATTCATATTGAAATTTGGCCAGCATAAAAAATATCCCATGTGATGCAGCATACAAGAGAAATTGTAACACTGCACTGTCATCGTATGTTCATCAACTCCATCAATTTCACAGGGTTTAAGTAAAATTGGAAATGAAATCGATAAGTGAAGTTATCCATCGTAAATCAATAAGTAACTGGCTGTAAAATTATGTATGCCCATTTATGCTCATTAATTAAATACAGTGCATATGTACATATACCTTAAATCAATTCACATCCCATTTTGACATTTCAATATAATTTGTACATGTACTTCTCCAAGTCAAACTTTATTGAATTTGGGGACTTGATTTGGACTGATTTTAAATGATTTTATGAGATTCTTCATCCCATATCCAGCCATTCTGCCCGAGGAATGAAAACATGGTATGTTTTTAACAATTCCTTTCATCCGTCGTAATCTTGATCTCTTTCCACTGCTCATTTTCTACATATGTACTTATGTCCGTACATGAATAGTCAAATACTTATGTACATAAACACATCTACTTTTCACTTGCATGCTTGTGAGCAACAATGAGTAGTAAAACGAAAGATCGTAACATATAAACTTGTGTAACGAGCAGGTTGTAATATTTTCGACATGGTTCAGTAACGTCGTGTTTTCTGGTCACAAATCGGCATATTTTGTCTATGCTTAAAACCAAATGTGTTTCCAAAATGAGACAAAAATAAGTAAATTTCATTCCCGAGGGGCTTTCAGCAATGAAAAAGGCTTCCTGATACAATATTCCAATTCTTTTCCCCTCATATAATTCGAATTGAACATCGTGTTTGGAGCCCTGGCTTGGAACAAATGCATAACTTAGCAACAATTTAAACCCAAACTAGACCAAACTAAAGATGGTCTACTTAACTTGCTGGAGGCACGCATCTCACAAAATGCATAAAATACTGCCCTATAACGTGTGGAAGCTGTCAGACATGAACAGCCACACAGGTGCAGGTAAAATAAAATTTGAAGTGTGTAGGTCCATGTAAAGGAAGAAGTAAAATTATTCTCAGTGACTTTGTTGCATACAATTTGTTTCGAGTGAGCCATGCTTACTTATTTATTTATGGAGGGCCCAAATGCACAATAAGTACGTGTGAGTCTTGGTTAGCCTAACGATGAAAGTGAACAGAACTTGACTCAACTTGACACGTGAAGAAGCAAATTTGAAATTTAAACTAGATTTTGAGTAAGAAATAAAATCAGTTAAACGAAACTCTAGGCATGAATTTGTTTATTTATTTATGAGTGGGAATATTTTGTACACCTTGAAAATGTCAATATTATTCATGATATGATTCTATTATTGAGATGGGAATATTGCATACTGTCAAATTGGCTAAATTTGGGGTAAAGTTCAAGGTTTGTGTGCAACTTGTAACGTACGGAGTAAAATTTTAAATTACATAGACACGTATGTAAATAAGTAATGATCAATTTTCAAAATTATTGTATATGTAATCTACTCCGACTTTCACCTTCATATATTTAATGAAATTCAAATCTGACCTGTTTTAGTCAATCCGGATATGAGAAGCAATCCCACCATGGAGATAAAAATCCAACTAATTGCCCGCATTTTGTAAGAACCTAAGGTTTTCTGTTTTCACAAGGGAACTCAATATTTAACAATCCGACGATAATTAGACTGTAAATATATTTATCAGATACGTATCGCTCCCAATTTTCAATAAATTGTCACACTTTCACTGTCATAAAATTGTAATTCCAAAAATGAATATATTTTATCCAAACACATAAATGGCACTTAACACAACCAGATATGTAAAATTATAACAAGATTAATTAAATTAAAAGTTATGCAGATGCTGGTAAACAATTTGTGAGAATGTTTGTTAAATGGTCACAAAATTTGAAAGGTTTCAAAACTTGACAATGCCGGTTTGGAGTTACATGAAAAAAATGTGACATAACTGATAGGACGCTGCACGCAGTGATCTGACTTTGCATGAGATTAGAGAGCAACTGAAGACGATGCAGACTGACTCATCGTCTGGTCATGACATGAGATAGGGTGCATCTCATCGTCTCACATTTACTCTCACTTTCATGAAAGTTGTATCTCTTCCAAATGTACATTGAGAGACATCTTTTTGGAACTCTGGAATGTAAAATTTAATAAGCTTTCTGAAAATGTTTTTCCTTCCTCATTTCTTCAACAGCAGCTTCTCTCCTGAGCTATCTCAAGATAAGAATTTGTCCTATTATTATTTATGTCTGCACACAAAATTGTACAATTCGACGATGCAGAGTGCATAAGACATAAAGGGTGAAAATTTAATTCGAACTGATCGATTTTTCCACGCCAACACGAGGCAAATACAGCTGCAATTTTTTAAGCCAGTGAATATTTTGTTTCGAAATTTTTATTATCGGTGGACCGAAGGCAGATGCTGAAAATGAGCATACAAAAAGACTTTATGAAGATCGGAATTATTTTATAAATAATACGCCCGTCTATTAGCGATACTCGATGTGATCTATGCACATATGTATTTATGACCCTTTTTCTAATAAACATTTTTAACAAGCTTGTTATATCCATTTGATGCACAAATTTGTAATTCGACATATACATATATAATTTCAAAACAAATTGCATACTGCGCAATGGACGTCACATCCCTTAAATTCCTGCACGTTTATCTGACACTCTCCGATATTGTATTTGTACCTAGTTCATACGGCAAAATATATATTGACATCATTTACTGAAGAACAAATCAATTTTAAGGAAGCCATTCGCTTTACACCCATCCACCTCAATGCTTATCAAGTACGTTGATATTTGCGTACATCGTCTCAAACAATGCATCACTGCTTATCAAGTATCAATTGCTCATTTGACGTTATTATCAGACTCGTGCACATCCTGCGTCTGCTGAGTATCTACGTTAATTACAGAGTGTGTATTGCACAATTGATCCCAGATTAATGTATATAAAGGACTTCTCACCATATCACAATATCACAATTATTAGTTCCAACGACAACTTCAGTTTCTAAACCTTAAGCGAAAAAATAATCCTTAATCATGACGACGCCAACTTATTTTCTTCAAGCTTTCATGGGATTTATTTTACTCTGGAGTGCCACACCCACTTTCGCCGACAGTGTCAACATGCCATCCGGTTATTATGAGTATTACTGCTATAACACTCCAGTGTATTGCTGTTGGAACACAGTACAGGTAAGTGTGACTTGTATGAAGTACGTGCATAAATGACAGTGAAAATCAGTTCATTTTGCAATTTTTTTAAATCAGCTGAATGGCAACTGGTCCTTGATCCGATATCATTCAGACGTCCAGATCACTTGTGGGGACCTAAATGTCAATTCTGTTGGAGGCGACGGCCGTAGCCTCGACCTTTCCGCGACCTTTCGAACCTTCAGTTTTGATCCCGTTGTGACGAAAGACATCACAGTGAATACGACAAGTTTGGAGTTCAGTAGTGGTCGATGGGTTTCCAGGAAGAGACTTTTTGGTAAGTTTTATTATGATGAAATCCACTTGGATGTTTGTAATCCTGTGGGTTTTGGAAAGTTACTTTGTAAACTTTTAGAAAGTAATTAATTAGACTTGGTAGTCTTAAGTTTACGGCGTTTACATGGACAGAGTTGCAAACATTGGATTGAATATCGTCAATGAAATGCAAATATTATTTGTAAATGTACAAGAAAAAAAATAATGGAGTAATTTAAATATGTATTTACTTAGATATCAGACCCAACGCCAATTACGAGAGGTCCAGCCTACTCTTGTTGGGCTACACGATGAGTACGGGTGGTGCAGAAATGGAGAGCTTTTTATTCGCAACGTGCGAAATGTACAGCCTCCATGCTGGATCGCCACCAGTCAATACGATTCGCGAAGTTGGGATCCTTGCGAGGAAGGGTTTGGAGGAAAAATATGATAACGTGACGTTGTTGGAGAGCAAGTACAATAGGGCGTTGAATTTGGCTCAGTTACCGTTAGTGGGTCAAATTCTGCCACCACATTTTCTTACCGGGTGTAATATATGATTTATTTACATGCGCCTATAATTTATTTGAACAATCCAAATTTGTGGGCATAAAATATTTTGAAAAAGATTTTGAAATTATACGTACCTCATTTGCACAATAAAATACAAGGAATAAAAATACTGCATGTGTCACTGCTAGTTTCTAAGATTCGATCTTAAGCAACAAATAATTAACAAATGTTTAAACACAACATGCATGCTAATTTTTTCACGTTTAAAGAATAATGTGCCAAAATCAGAAAGTTTAAAATTTAGCCGATAATCATAATCATGATGATCACTATGATACAATGAAATCATGAAATATACACGAGAATTAAATCCAGGGCTTAAAAATTTCAATTATAACTTAATCCCTAGATACAGTTACTCATCTGCACATTATGCATATTCTTTACAACTCTTAAAAAACAAGGAGAATGATGCAGTATATATTTAAATAATAAAAATCCCAATTCAACACGGAAGACGTTTCTTGAAATCAAAACCGTTTAGAAAAACTCGAGTAGTAGATATTTTCATCTTATATGCACTTAGGAGTAGAAGGTCACTACTTGTCGGGCCCCGATTTCGATCTCCTTTGGATATGTTGTAGCACTACATGAGTGTAGAAAAAGTGAAGGAGGGTTAGACTCCATGAGCCCATTTACGCCCGCCACACCCCCTCAAAGGCGCCCAAACCCCCAGAGTTGCCGCACTAAAATCATCGCCAAAAATCGAGTTTTGGTCAGATTTTCAAAAAGTTTACATTTTTGTGATCCCAGATAGTTGCTCTATCATATCCAATAGCAAACTCAATTTTTTTGAAATTTTCAATATTTTCGAAGATTTTCTGACCAAGGGTATGTATTGAAAAAATTCGAAATTTCAAAAAAATTGAGTTTGCTATTGGATATGATAAAGCAACTATCTGGGATCACAAAAATGTAAATTTTTTGAAAATCTGACCAAAACTCGATTTTTGGCGATGAATTTAGTGCGGCAACTCTGGGGGTTTGGGCGCCTTTGAGGGGGTGTGGCGGGCGTAAATGGGCTCATGGAGTCTAACCCTCCTTCACTTTTTCTACACTCATGTAGTGCTGCAACATATCCAAAGGAGATCGAAATCGGGGCCCGACAAGTAGTGACCTTCTACTCCTTAATTACATACTCTTACTTTGGGTTTGCATTAATCGACTATGATCTGGAACATTCTCGGACCTGTAGCGCAAATTGCAATGAAAGCAAATAATTTAAAATTCCATTTTTTTTTATTACACACATCATAAACGCATAGAACGTTTAGATTTAAGATAATTTTGCAACGTTATCTCATCCAGTCTCTTATCACACCTCTGTATTTTTGCAGTTCTCTCGTACTCTGTACATGTATGCGTAAAGCAGTGGGTATACATACATTCATATCCTTTGCGACTATCGATTTACATGCATCATGTCGCTTACATACTTGTTTTTTGCTGATGCAATTTTCTGAGTAAGTTTGGCCACATTGGTGTTCGCAATACTTAGCACGTATTTTGTATACACTGTTATGATAACAGATGATATTGTTTATGTATGTACAGTGCATCTTTATTCGCGAAGGTTACTACATAAAAACGTTTTTGTTGGAAGTTCAGGTTTAGTTTTCCACGTATGAATAATGAATTCATACAAGGCTTATAAGCTAAAATTCATTCCGTCAGCCAGCAGCAGAAAACAAAAGACTTCAGAGTTAAACAGACTGATATTTTGTAACAAATTTTTTACTCGTCTTAAAAATGTGTTCGGCCGATAAGAGAACCAAGTTTAGCAGAAAACAAGAGCAAAATCTCCAGATCTCACAGATTCCTACCCTCAAATTAACCCTGAAAGAAAACAATATCACAAATAAAGATTTGCAAAATGGACTCGACTTATTTGACAAAGTTGCAAAATGTTTGCACACTTTGAACATGAAATTACCACCGCTATACTTAAACGTTCCATTAGAATCTTATTCAACAGAGGAAAGTGAAATATTACTTATTTTGCAAAGAATGCGAAAAGTTGCAATTTCCTTGTTGAATACACAAAATGAGAATGTGAAAGTGAAACCAAGATCGGAAAAAAGAAAACGCATGGACAACAACGTAGCAGTAAAGCATCTGAGAACTACAGATACAAAATGTGCTAATTCTAAACCAATCTTTATTACTGAAACTTCACTGCCTAAAAATAATGGCAGCAAATTTTTGCATGATCTCTGCTACATTTGCAAAAAATTGCTAAATCCGATCGACCGTCACTCCTTTCACTCTTGGATGTGCGTCCCATGTGGTGATTTTAATTTCAAAAAACGATCCCAAACTGCCCCTCTTAACGGAAAGGTTGCCTTGGTAACCGGTGCCCGAGTGAAGATTGGGTATGAAATCGCATTGAAATTACTACGCGCAGGCGCCGATCGTGTCATCTTAACGACGCGATTTCCTCTCGATGCGCTTAAACGGTATCAAAAAGAAGCAGACTTTTCCGAGTGGGCCGCCAAATTGGATATTTATCAGTTAGACCTCCGTTTTTTACAGGATGTGATTCATTTTTGTGAACACGTGACTAAAAATTACGCCAAATTGGACATCCTAATTCAAAATGCAGCTCAAACTATTAGACGGCCAGCGGCGTATTATAAGTCACTAATTGAAGGAGAATCAACACTCTATTTGTCAAATTGTGATGTTAGTGGGATCATCAAATCGTACAACGGATCTCAGTTTTTGCAAAATGCTCAACTTTCTGCACTGACAAAATCGGGTGGTAATGATGAAATCTGTGTTAGCGAAAATCGCCACCCATCCGCAAACTTGGTACATCCCGACGACTACAAATACAGTATCGATGTACAAAAGTGTGTCCAAGACTTTCCTCCGGGACAAGTGGACGATGACGGACAGCAGTTAGACCTACGGCGAGAAAATACTTGGACGTTAAGATTAGGGAAAGTTGAGACTGTTGAAATGGTTGAAGTAACCGCGGTAAATTACATGGCGCCGTATTTGCTGTTGCAGAAGTTGACACCGCTAATGAAACGGTCCGATACTGAGACGTGGTAAATAAATATGTGCCAAAAAACGCAAAAATGCAAAAACGTGTTTCTCTAACTATTTGATGTTTTAGCTGGCGTTGGATTGTCCTTGTGTCTGCGATGGAGGGTAAATTTTTTCAATGCTACAAGACCAGGAAACATCCGCACACGAATGCCGCAAAAGCTGCGCTAAATATGTTGGTCCGAACTTGTGGCGGGGAGTATAAAAAAATAGGGATTTTACTGAGCGCGGTTGACACGGGGTGGGTCACGGAAGAGCATCCTCATGGATATTATGACGAAATGATCCGACCTCCGCTGGACTGCGTGGATGGCGCGGCGCGAGTTTTAGATCCCATCTTCGAAACGCTAAATTCCGGACTTGTCTCAAGTGCTGGCCGGTTTAATAAAGATTACGCCCCGACGAGTTGGTAAAGGTGCGTTTGCGCTTCACTCCTTGGTAACTTGCGCCACAGTTAAATTATAAAATTGGCGCAAATTGTCAAGGAGCGAACTACAAACTGCCTTAGCTCTGCCGTTTTTTAAAATTTTTTTGAAGGAAAAATACTAACTGGATACGATTTTGAATTGCATAATTACATGACTTGTACGTAATTTTATTGATTTTTAAGAATGAATAAGCTACTTTAATGCCGAAAAGCAACATAAGAATATTTATTATTCCTTTAATAAAGATTGGCTTTTCCTTTAAAGGATAAGCTTGAAGTTGTGTAATTTATTATTTTTTGTGGTACTATAAATAAATAGTTAAGGATGATTCTTTACGTAAGGCTGAAAACATACATATGTAACTCTGATTTATGTGATACTTATAATGCATGGCATCAGTGTTCATGGTGTTGACGTCGTACACAAATACATATGTACATACTCTGTCATATACTTAATTTACGGTACACAGTTGACAGTTTCATCTGTGTTTCTAATGAAACGATTCTCAGGTAACTTATTTTTTTGCTAACATTTTAAGAATAACAGATGCATAAATATATAGTAATATGTAAACCCGTAATTATTGATCTATGTATGTAACTGATTGGTCTGTTGGTCAACAGTAATTAACTTAAGCTACAAACACACTAATAGCATTATACTTAAAACATTACTTAAAACCATGGCCAACACGAAATGCTCAAGTATTGTTGGACACGCCCATTGTTTTGCCAAATAAATAGGTACATATATGTACATACATAGGTATATAAATATTTAAGATCGCTCATAACCAGAAAAATAAATATTTTCCTACTTACATACGCATATATTTATTATCAGCAAGTTAAGTCCAACATAATTACCTAAATCTGTACATTTCTTAAAAGCGTGATATGCCCGCTAAATAAAATATTTTCTCCATACTACTATACATACGGTAAACTCCTAAATTATCGATTCCTTCAACTCTTATTCCTAAATGTTTATTGTAAAAATAGTATAATAACATTATTTTCCCTTCAAATTATGTCGGGATGGATAAGGTAACAGCGAACTTTACAAAAATAATCTACTTTTCCTATCATGCATAAATCGATATGACTTCTTAATTCCGACCAGCATATTGCAGACGTCAATCGCCTGCCCTTGGTCAAACGGTGAATCAAATCTAATATATAAGTGCTCAGTTGTCGATATATAAATTTAATTTTCAATTTTGTAAAAGCTTGAAAATTTAAGGAAATGATTTCCAAAAAGGCGCAAAAACTGACCCTTCAACTTCTCAAGGTTTCCTCCATGTTTTCCTGCGTTCCCTGGGAATATGGGAGAAAACGGGGAGAAGTGCGATTTTTAATTAGGCGAAAGTGTTTAACGACATTTTACATAAATATCATAATTTTCTTATCCTACACCGTATTCGTGATAGCCAGACTACCATTAAGTTCCCTAGAAAATCATCCACTTACCTTCGTCAGAGTAATAATTCACCTCGTAGGAGCCCTTTTTACCGTAATGGTTGCGATAATTTGCTGCTGGGAATTTGTATTCGCCGCCAATGAGATCATGCAACAGTATAACGTGGCGTTTTTGTATCATGAAAAATTTGCAGGTTTGTTAGATACATAATTTGGCGGGAATTTGAAAAATAAATTTGTGATTTTGAAATTTATTTAGATACTTATTGTACACATACGGTTATAAAGAATGGAAATTTCAACTGCGGTTTCGAACCTTGGATGAAACTCTTTTTCCAGGCGGTTCTAATTGTTGGTTGTTTCATTTTGCCCCTGTTTGGATTGGTGGTCCCGCACTTAAACCTATTTATAACCTCTGCATTTATGAATTACTTTGAAGTTGGCAGCGTTTGCTGGAAATTGTTCGCCTGGTTGGTGGCCCTAGCGCATGCCTGGATTTATACGTGTGGGGGTCTGATGGGCGTAAATTTAATTTTCATCTTTATCCCAGCAATATGTCAAATGCTTCTTGTTGTGAAGGAAATCAGGTAATTAATAATTTTCATGGGTTTTTAATTTTTATCGTTTTAGTTCAAAAATTTCAAAACTTTTCAGTTATTAGAGATTTTCAAAAGTACCAGTACTTATTTTACAGTAACATTTTCAAAATTACAAATATGGACAAGTTTAGGTTAAAACACCTTCCATGAGGAAATTTGACTGATAAAAATATTTTTGCAATTGGAGTCAACAATTGCAAACATATTTTTCAGAAAAATTCATTAGAATCGATTTTTGCCATAAACATCAATATAGATATTTTTTCTATTTATCAGAAAATAAATACTTCCGCTTTACTATTCAGCACCAAAAAATAACTTCATGTTTTATACCTAGACCTCAAAACGCATTTTCCAAGCTGACCAAGCCTACATCTCGAGTTGCTGAAAATGTGATAAAAACCTTAAAAATCATCCAACTCCTTCAACAAGAATCCAACCGCGTTATAAGTTTTAACATTATCCCGACAACGGTAACGAGTTTAATGTGGATCTGCATCTGTTGTAATTATGCAGTGATATCTTCCCCCGTAAGAAATATGAAGAATGTGGTTTCCATAATAATTGGAAAAGTATTAGGGGCATCGATCTCATCCGGCATGATCCTGCTTCTCATCGTTGCTTTCAACATTACCGGAGAGGTTTTGATCTCCTATTCGAAAACCGTGCGAAGTTGGAAGAATCAAAGGACGAGTGCGTATTGTAAAAAAGTGCTGAAATCGTTAAGGCCGGAAGGCGTAAAAATTGGGTGTTTCATGTCTATCGGACGCATGGGCACCTTAAACCTAGTCATGGCAATTATCAAGTATACTGGAAGGTTGCTAATTTCTTTGAAGAGAAAAATGTAGAATTATGTATGAAGGAAAAATGTTGGGGTGAATTAGGATTTCGAAAAAGAAAATATTTATAATTGGTTTAATCCGATTTATTTAGTGGGTTAACCGATTTTTCAGGCATTTAAGTAAATATGTAAAATAGCTCGGCTCATAAATATGTGATAATTTTGGTAATTGTGATTTTGGAATAGCCAGTAAATTATAGGGTTACATATATCTAAAATTTGTAAAATTAGTTAATATGGCCATGATCAATTATTCATGGTGGATTTTTTTTCGTCAAGGCCTACGTAATTTTAAACATAGATAGATCCGGTAATTATTATCTAAACACATAACATGTAGTTATTGTCATTATGCAAATTTTAATGGTTTTAGGTCAGGTCAAATAAAATGTTTTGAACAAGGTACAAGGCCAAATCTTCCCCGTGTGTTGGAAAATTACTGCATAAATGTTCACAAGTCTGAAAAATATGGATCTGTATCGTGTTCCATTGTCCAGTGAACATCGCTCCAAGTTTACGGCAAAAGTAAATATGCACAATGATTTCCAGAGTTTCACAAAAATTGAGCCGAAAGTTTCTGAGATTGACATCCCAGAATTCCTGGCTTCCCTGGGAATACGGCAGCCTCAACAAGTTCTTAATGCCAACGGCGTCAATGAACAAGTTTTATTTCAATACAGGGATTTTATTAGGGCACAATTTATTTGTGATTGTACGATTTCCCGTCACTTTAAGGGAAGACCACCCCTTAACCTTTGTTAGGGCAATTATTCACTTTATTGGAGTTCTGTGTGCAGTTTTGTTGTCCATCGGATGTTGTGCGGAACTAATATTTTCAAAGAATGCGATAATAGAATACTACAATGCAGCTTTTAAGTATTATCAAGGATTTGCAGGTATGTAGTAAAAATTAACTCCTAAGAAATTTCGTAATTAAATAATTGATCAATTATCTCAATTTTCAGAAACATACTGTCAATCGCACGTCAAAAAATTAGGAGCTTTCGCCTGCGGATTTGAAATTTATATGAAAATGTTTCTTTACTCTGGATCACTAATTTTTGTCATATTTTTGCCCACTTTTGCATTCCTACTTCCATATTTAAACATCTTTATATCTTCCGTGTTTATCGAATATATAATTTCTGGAGGCGTGGGACCAATTTTGCTCTTGCTTTTGCTAACTATTTTAAATATATGGATCTATTCACTGGGAATTGCTATGGTCCTTGGAATAATTTTTGTCCTAATTCCGCCAATTTGTCAAATGATTGTGGTTCTAAAGGAAATACGGTGATTAATAAACGTTGAGGGTATTCATGACGAGTTCACATCGTTAGCAACGTTGAGAAATTTCACAAATTTGAAGAAAAATAGTGTAAAAATCAATTTTGGAACTTGTTCATCTCCAAACCTAGTATTTAGTTCACATTTTTTTCAAAATTATGTTGCGATGCGAGCATGCGAACTCGTAATGAATACCCCCATCCATTCATGCAAATAAAAATATAAATTAATCAAGCATGAGCTTAAATAATGGTAATAAAATTGTCACCGACCTGGGCACAATTGTCGTGATACCTATTTTGTTACCGAACGGCGTCAATAATTTGCCTACATTCTTGGAGTAAATCTCTTTGTGATACACAACTTAGAATTTCTGTGAAAATTTTATTTACCGTTCAGTAACATATCATTACTAAATCCAAATATCAAGTGTCAGAAAAAAAATTGTCACCACATTATTTCAACTGTATTTAATATATTTATTTATACGTAGACCTGCCAATTCATCATCAAAGCTAACCAAGTCGACAGCTCGGAAAATTGGAAATGTTACGAATACACTTCGTGTCATCCAACTCTTGCAACAAGGATCCAACGCTGTGATGCAAAACAATTTTGTGCCAACTACGACAACAGTGTCAATATTGATCTGCGTATTTTGCAATTACGTGTCCCTTTCGGTCCCCCAACGCAACAAGGAAACCGTGTGGCCGATCATATTTGGTAGACTGTTAGGAGTCATGATTTCCACCCTATTCATGATTTTCTTAATCATTGTCAGCAACATTACGGGAGATGTGAAGAGTTCCTACGTTAAAACTGTGGGTGCGTGGAAGAACGAAAAATTAGAGAAATTAGAGAAACAAATGCTAAAATCGTTACGACCGGAAGGTGTTAAGATTGCGTTCTTTACGACAATTCAGAAAATGACGACGCTGAATCTCATCATGACAATTATCAAGTATACGGGCAAGATGAGGATTTCGTTTAAAGGGAAGGTGCCGTATAGTTAGGGTTGTGTTTTTTAGTTTGGATAATAATTAAGGGGTTAAATTAGGGGAATTTCCAACATTTTAAGAGTTGGTAGAGCTCAATATTTATTTTTGTGCATATTTATGTTTCGGTTTATGTATTTATTTTTGGGTGGATAAGAAATCATGCGTTACAGGTCTGATAACTAACTACTCTTCAGACAATATTATTTA